TTTGGACCAAAGAAAAGTCAGTGAATTATATTAGGGCTGTTAAAAAAACTCTCTTTCCCCGAAATGAAAATCGTTTCAGCATCCTTCCCGTGGATGAGGCGGAATTTCCGCCTTTAACAAATGAAATCAGTGTAACCAAAAATAGGGATAGCGAAGTGAATAGGAGGCTTACTAGAGTCAGGTACAATGTGGTAGCCCGTGAAGCTAGGGCGGCAAAACAAACCCCTCATAGGGTAGCTGACAGGTCCTTAGAAAGACCAAAAAACATTACCAGGGATTCGGTGTTGGACAAACCCGAATACCTAAAGGGAAAAGTGACGGAGTTAGAAAAGCTCCTGACCCAAATGTTCAAACTAGTACAAACTCTAGTATAAATGACAAACTAGGGGAAACAGCAACTGAAATAAACAAACTCAAACAAAAATACAATTGGTTAAACACACAGGACGACATAGAAGCTATCAGTAAGGCTTCAAATCCCTTCATAACTACTGATGAAAATATTGCAATATAATTGCCAATCGTTGAAAGCGAATATAAACACTATATCGTAGGTTTTAATATCATTGAAAAAAACAGAAGCGATGGGTACGGGGGCGTAACCATAATTCTAAAGAAAAACATTAAATTTAGGAAAATAACTTTCGTGTCTGACCTAGACATAGTAGTAGTCCAATCCAAAAACTTGAACTCCAATGTAGTTATATGTGCCACCTATTTTCCGCAATCGATCCCCACAGAAATCTTCAGAAATGAGATCACCAGACTTTTTACCTTTTTAGAAAACTTCCAAAATGTCCTTATTTTGGGAGATTTTAACGCCAGATCCACAGCTTGGGGTGATCAGCTTACATCGTGTAGAGAAAGAAATCTTCAAAATATAGTTGAGGAGCACAACTTCTGGCCACTTAATGATGGGTCACTGACTTTCAAGACCAACCTGCAATCACCCAATGGGTCGGTCCTAGACCTCTCCTTCACAAACAGCAACATACCCTTCATATGGAAAACAGACCCGGTAAGGATTGGTGGAAGTCACCACTTTCCGGTGGTCATAGAGTCTACCACTCTAGTCACTCACCAACAGCGCTTCTTAGCCCAAAACAAATCAATATCAGGTATCCGACAGTTAGAGCTCGAACCGGACATTGACGACATTCAGGTAAAAATTAGGGGCGAAGTTGAGGCAGCAACCTACACTCCGCGAGCGAACAGAACACCCAAAGCCTGGTGGAGCGACACCCTAAGCAAGACTTTTCGGCTAATGAAATGTGCCTCCAAAAAGTGCAAGGACTATCCATCCCCTGAAAATTTTGAAAGCCTAATAGAAATAAAGAAGACTTGGAAGGATCAAGTCAAAGAAGCCAAAAAACGCAATTTTCAAAAAAGAATCGAGGAACTGAACGAAAATCCCACTTCAAAAGAAGCCTGGAGGTTTGTGAAAGCGATGAGGGGTGACTTCAAGTCAGCAGATAGGTTTGCATGGTCAGAGGAAAACAACATCAACTACTTGCAGTATCTAAAAAGTCAAGTCCCAGCAACAAATCATGGGTTTGCACCCAACAATGTGACGATTCCGGCAAACGATCTAGCCATTAGTTTTGAAGAGCTTCAGGATGTGGTAAGACACAAAAAGCA